GGATCGCATCGGTTTTGCTCTCCACCAATTCCACGGCCCAAATTGCTCCGTCGGAGGTGCTGTTTCTGGTCTGCCGAACGGTTTCCTGGTCGTCGTCGGCGATTAAGTACTTACGGAGGTGGCTCCGGAGCTTTACGGTCTTGACGGAGGCGAAAAACTCCATGAATCAGAAATTGGATGAAATTGGGGGGAAATTAATACCTAAATAGGAGAAATGGAGGTTTGGGTGGAAGATTTGAGGATCCATTATCAGTATTCAGTGCAGTGGACTTAATCAAAAGACCAAAAAGCGTTGCGTTTATGGAGGAGGATGAATTTGATTGGGTAGTGAGTAGTGAGGGGCACAGTGATAGTGTGCGGAATGGAAAGGGGTAGACTCCACTATACTCCGCCATGGATATCACTTGGACCAATTCTCTCCAATGAGGTGCACTTTTCTTCAAGGGAAATCTGAGTTTTCAGAATTTTGTTTCTTTCAAAAACTAACTAATGTCTTTGAATTTGTATTTTAATAAATTTATAATTATGTTCATGGCGAGTCATTCGAAATGTAGTGTTATCGGATAAATGAGCTTGCAACAGCGATCTCGAGACCGATGTAGTCACTCGTCTAAAAGGCTCCGACACTCAAGTTAATAATCAATAGAAAGCACGTTAAGGGACGAGTGACAAATTTTTCACTTACTCGATAGTGGTGGTAATTTTTCCATTTCATAAGTGTTCCTAGTCGATCAGGGAAGATGCTTCGTACATGGTACAACAGTGTTGCTTGTGGTACAAGACGTAGACGGTCAGGGAGGACATTCTTGATGCACAATGGACATCAGCCGCAATGTACATGGTACAACAGTGTTGCTCGTGGTACAAGACGTAGACGGTCAGGGAGGACATTCTTGATGCACAATGGACGTCAGCCGCAATCCGCAATGGAGTTAATGGTAAGGACCTAATAAATAAAGAAATTAAAAGTCATATTTTAAGGTACCATAAGCGTAATAACACAGCTTGAAAAGCTTCGAGACTTGTTAAAAAGAAAATTAAAATACATAAACTAAATAATACCCTTTAAACTTTTAGAATCAAACTTGTAATTCAATTTTATTAAATATATGTGTCAATTATGGCCACCCAAAACTCAGGTTAACTACTAAGAATTAGGCAAGTGAAATTCAAATCGTTGATCCAGAGGAAATTAATATTTGAGAACTTGGAATATGTTTAGATAGGTTGTTGGTAATTATATTTTTATTAGGGGTGTGATTGTATTATTTATTTATGAAAGGAGTTGGTTAGTATTAGATGTTCCTTTTGTAAATTATTTTTAAAAATTAAAGTCAAGTAATAAAATCAAGAAAGTTAAAAAACTTGTCCTTTTTGAGATGTGTTCAAATTAGACACGCAGAATATTGAAATAAGATTTGTATAAAAGAAAATAGTGGACACTTTGGAGAAATTATAATGGTAAAAAACTAATATTAGTCAACTTTGATCAACTAAAAAAAACTATATATATATATATATATATATATATATATATATGTAGCCATTTGTTATTGCACATTTGGCAGTGTGTGCGGCGTGCTTGGGAATAGTGCTTTATGCCTAAATCTACAATTAAAGATGGTGCCAAAAGTGATTCCTATGTTATGGCAAATTAATATTTTCCATCATCATTTGCATTTATTTTTATTCTTTCTCCACACAACTACTATTCAAGTTCTTTCTATTTTTAAAAGAATATGCAAACAACAATAACTTTTAGTCATTAAAACAAGATTGCAAATATATATCTCATTACTCTTATCATTATTAGCTGTATGATTTATAAAAAAAAAAAAAAAAAAGTATTTTTTTCATATATTCAAACAGTTACAAAAATTATATTACAACAACCCCATTAAATAACTCCTCTAACTATTTAGTCGTAGGAATTAATGAGGCTTGCATATTAAATAGAGCCTTCAAATGTACATGTCCAAATTAATGTAGGTTTGCTTATTAAGATAAAGGGTTATAAAAGTTATTCCCATCTTAGTTAATAAAGCACTAATTATCTTTTTTCAAAATATTAGTAAATTTGCCATCTATGTGAATGAGGACATTTAACTTCTTAATTTTAACACTATATAGTAATAGTAATATATTTTTTTTTGGGACGTCTGTATATATTCGACGATGAACTGTTTACTCTAAAAATAATCTACAATATTTTATCAACCTAAACATAATTTAACTGATTAAGATATATATCTCCGACTAAAATATTGTGAGTTCGAATCTACACTCCCATATGTTAATGTTCTAGGAAAAAAATAATCTATACCAATTAAAGTTGGTTACTACGTTTTTAATTCTTAGTACATCCACCGATATATTAGTCAAYATTGTTTGAAGGTATGTGTGGATATCAATTGATATTTTATCATATCCACATAAATAGGAAATTAATACCTTAATTTTCAAGTTATATATTTTTACATATAGATATACTATAACATATTGGTATTGTATTTTAATAGAATTATTATATAGCTTTAAAGTGTCTATAATTTAAAATACGTAAGTAATACCTYTTTATTAGTTTAAAAAAAGGACCGTTGAATAGAACTTTGAAATTAATCTTAAATTATTCTTCAAACTTATTTATTATTAATTTATAAATATAATACAATGAATTAAGTGATTACAAATACTTTTATGGTGTAACTAAAACAGTGAAGGTCGAACAAAAGGCCTTAAAATATCAAGAAAAAAATGGGTAGTAAGTCGACAKGGTTATATGTCAATTACCATTAAACTATATTTGCTTTGACGATCCAAATAGCTAAGTTAACCGTTTAAAAGGAAAATATCAGCAGTGAAAAAATAATAATAATAAGAAGGAAAACTGGGAATCAAATCAATAATGTAGCATTGGAGATTATGTTGGAATTGATYTACGAGGGAGTTGAAAAACAAAGAGGGCAGTGGGAGAAGTTCAACTTTCATTTCAATGTTACATAGAAAAGTCAAAAAAGTTTTCCACAAATGTCTAACAATTAAAAGAAAAAACGCTCTCTCACATGTACCCAAAAACCGACTTGGGTCAACAGTTTAGTGAGCAAAGGTTTGAGAAAATTGACACAACAAAAAGCAAAAGCAAAAGCAGATTTCAAAATTAAAAAAAAAAACAAGGAAGAAACTTTGGACTTTGGATGAGCCTGAGGCGCAGTGCTGCTTTTAAAGTTTTTGTTTTGTCTTCACACTCCCAAAGCCAAAAACTCGCCCTTGCCTTCACGTGACCTCCCTTCTTTCTCCTCCTCCCACTCCTCTTTTCCCTCCTTCCAAATTCCAACAACATTGCTAAAGGAATCTCTTTTCCTTTCCTTTCCTTAGATTTCAGATTTAGATCTCACTTCTCTTCTT